TAAGAGAAGCCATCATATGGGAAGCTCACAATGGAGGACTAGCACGGAATTTTGGCAGAGACAAGACAGTTGCGTTTATCAAAGAAAATTTTTATTGGCCAAAATTGGAGCACGATGTTAATAGACACATCCAACGATGTAGAACTTGTCATCTTGCCAAAACTAAGGGACAGAATACTGGATTGTATCTACCTCTACCCGTACCTGCAGCACCTTGGGAAGATGTCAGCATGGACTTTGTTCTAGGACTACCGCGAACTCAAAGACAGAAAGACTCTATTATGGTAGCCGTAGATAGATTTTCAAAGATGGCACATTTTATTCCTTGTCAAAAGACCAATGATGTCGTCCATATCGCTGACTTGTATTTCAAGGAAATTGTTCGGCTCCATGGAATTCCAAAGACCATTACTTCTGACAAAGATGTTAAATTTCTAAGTAACTTTTGGAGGACTTTGTGGAAGAAAATGGGAACTAAACTACAATTCAGTACTGCCAGCCACCCTCAAACAGATGGCCAGACAGAAGCTATCAATAGACTGCTAGGCAACCTGCTACGGAGCTTTGTTGGTAAAAACATACGCCAGTGGGATCAGATTCTAGCACAAGTAAAGTTTTCCTACAATAACTCTACCAACCAGGCAACCGGGAAATGTCCGTTCGAAGTAGCATACGGTGTTCGACCTCTCAGTCCGTTAGACCTGGTTCCTAGTTCTACCAAGAATCATTTCAGTGCTGAAGCTGACAAGAGAGCCAAAGAGATCAAGAAGCTTCATGAAGATGCCCGAGCCAGAATTGAAAAGTAGAATGTCAGATACAAGGCTCAACGCGACAAGCACAGAAAGCAACAGGTATTCAACGAAGGAGATCTAGTATGGATTCATCTGCGAATGGAAAGATTTCCGAAGCAACCCAATGCCAAACTATCTCCAAGAGCTGATGGTCCATTCCGAGTAGTTCAAAAGATTAATGATAATGCCTACAAGATTGAGCTACCAGGATCATATAGAGTGTCAGCCACATTTAATGTTGCAGACCTTTCTCCCTATTTTGAGGAAGAAACGACAACCCGGGGAGAATGATTCAGAAACAAGCCCAACATCAGCCCAATTTGAAAGCCATGGAACACTCCAGAGCTTCTAGAAAAACAGCTGCCATTGTTGACAATGGAAACACCATCACCACCAATTTTTAACTCCCAACTACTCACCTCAGATATTTCCATTAACTTATGTATTTTTAGGTCCCTTAGGAGTAGTATAAATACCCCATTGTATTCAGTTCTAAACATCCAAGAATTAAGTTTGACTGTTTTTTTAAATTAAGAGTGTCTTCTCTTTTCCCTTGTAATTCTGAGCCAACTTGTATGACTAGTGATAATTTGGTCACCGTGAACTTTGGTTTGAGTTTTAATGAATTGGTTTTGTTGTCGTTTAAAAAAAAAAAGTATTTAATGTTTCATGACTACCTTTATATTTCATCCCTAAGCCAAATGCCATAGTTTGTCAAATTCTAACAACTTTGCATTGTCTTCAACATTAGGTATAGCATAGCCTAGCATATTTGCAATTTGCAAACCCAGGTTCGTTGTTTTCTCAACTAGTAATTTTTTTTTACCAAAACAATTATTCAAATTTTAAAATTTTGATCAACATGTAATAAAAGAACTCCTCCAAAGAACTGAGGGAATAATTCAAGTAAACTTTATCCACCCAATTTGTATTGTAAGAATCAGAGATAATAATTTATCAAAAGGCAGAAAATATGCTGGTTTTCTTGGAATTATTTTAGCATCAACAAAACATCAAGCGGGTAAGAGCATCTCCAACGGGCTCTGTATATTTGAAGAAAACGCCACTGTAAAATTTGTGGAACGGTTTGGCAACCGTTCCACTGTTCACCCGCTTGGCTCTTTATTTATTTTTATATTTTATTTTTTGTTAAATATGGAATTGAGCTTTCTTTTATGTCACGACTTCGGGTGTCCCGTCGGCCCTCGATAAGCGATCCGAGCATTAGCGAAAATACTTTCGAGAAAACACGAGAAGAGGAGAACACATTTGTGGCGTCGATTTATTATTTCGAGGACCCGATCATTTATTTTGAGTAACCCGAATTCGAGGGTGCATATGAGTAAAATAAATGAAAAAGCCGTTTACGGTGGTCCCGCAAGGTCGCGTGTGACTATGGTTTACCGAGAATCGAGTTGGGACGTCTAGAAGATTCAGACACTATGTCATGCGGGACATTTGTTGAGTATTTCGGAGCTCCGAGCATTTAATTAGAGAAGCTCGAATTCCCGAGTGAATAAAAATTTAACACACTCAAACAAGTTTATTTCTTATTTACAGTCTAGGCCATATATGGTTTAGGGCATATATTCACTAAGAAAATCTAGACTGTAAATATATGTCCTAAACCTTATATGGTCTAGACCATATATGCCCTAAATCATTTTCCAAAATGTGAATAATGATCACATGGCCTTATATGCCCTAAACCATATATGGTCTAGACCATATATGCCCTAAATCCAATGGTTAGAATTCAATCCAAGGTTCACATGACATTGTCCAACAATAATGTAGTGTAATAATAATCACATGGCCTTGTCCGAAATTATTACATTTGGCATTGTGTTGGTCAAATTTTTTTTTCACATGGTATTGTTTGAAAAAGAATCCAATGGTTAGAATCCAATTCAAGGATCACATGGCATTGTCCAACAATAATGTAGTGTAATAATGATTACATGGTCTTGTCCGAAATTATTGCATTTGACATTGTGTTGGTCAAATTTCTTTCACATGGCATTGCTTGAAAAGGAATCCAATGAAGAAGTCATGTATTTCTTTCATTCATCCATTCGTCTATATAAACATGAAACTATACATCATATCATCCAAGCTATATATTACATTCATTATCAAATAATTCTGTAATATTTTCCTCTAATATCATTCACAATGAATTATCTTCCTCCTAATAATTATGATTCTGATGAGGAAGATGCAAATGCTTCATTGCCTCTTTTTTATAACACTTTGGAATCAACCACCACTCATATATTGCAAACCAATAATTTTTTTATGACACGTGCTCTATCCGTGCAAAATAGATAACCAACTTGGGGAGGTTCTGTTCCGGGACATAAAGTAGTGCCCATCGCACTCTGTTTCGAGATTATTTTAGTAGTAATCCAACCTATGATGAAGATACATTTCGTCGAAGGTTTCGGATTTCTATTCATAATTTCAAACGTGTTATGCGAGCATTGGAAAATCATGATAATTTTTTCCAGCAACGTCGGGATGGTCTTGGTCGACTTGGATTGTCGACATATACAAAAGGGACAGCGGCGCTTCGTCAGTTGGCCTATAAAACTCCAGCAGATGGTGTTGATGAATATCTTAAGATTGCTGAGTCAACGGCCAATGAATGCGTAAAGAGATTCTGTCGTGGAGTCGTTGAAGTTTTCGGAGCACAATATCTAAGATCACCAAATCACGATGATATCGCTAGATTGCTTCATATTGGTGAACAACGTGGTTTTCCAGGTATGTTAGGTAGCTTGGACTGCATGCATTGGGAATGTGAGAATTTCCCTAAGGCATGGGTTGGTCAATACGCTGGACGTTCCGGAAAGCCAACAATTATTTTGGAAGCTGTGGCAGATTATGATCTATGGATATGGCACGCATATTTTGGTATGTCAGGTGTGAATAATGACATTAATGTGCTGGAAGCATCACCTCTAATGTCAAATCTTGCTGAAGGTATCGCTCCACCAGCTAATTACACCATTCAAGGTAAACAGTTTAATATGAGCTATTATTTAGCAGATGGTATATATCCAAAATGGTCCACTATTGTTCAGTCTTTTGTTGCACCATCAAATCCAATGGAGGAATACTTTAAAATGAGACAAGAGGCATGTAGAAAAGATGTTGAGCGTGCATTTGGAGTTCTGCAAAAAAGGTTTGCAATCATCGCGGGTCCTGTTCGTTTTTGGAAAAAAGAGGTGCTTAATGATATAATGAAAACTTGTATTATTTTGCACAATATGAATGTCGAAGAGCAACGTGATTTTAGAGCGCCAATTAGAAGTGATGTTCAATTTGGTGCTCAATCGGTTACTCCAGCACCGCGAGATCACGTCTCTTTTCAACAATTTCTTGCTCGACACAAACGAATCAAGGATAAGTCTGCCCACTATGAACTTCGTAATGCATTGGTTGCACATTTGTGGGAAAAATATTCTCATGGCAATAACTAGTTTTGTATTTTATTTTCCGTATTTCTTATTGTATTGAATGTTCTATGTTTGTGTTGATTTTTTTTTAATCAATGTTTGTGATGTAATCCACGTGGTTTTATGATGCAGTGCGTAATTTTATGATTTTTATTTAAATTTATTAATTAATCTTATCAATCAATAATTAATATATATTCATAGATATGTAAATTTTAGCAAGCATAATGCATTAAAATGTAATTTGTAGAGATTATTTAATAAACTAATAAAATAAGAAAAAAAAATATGCTTTGAATATTCTTTTAGAGGGGAATTATAGAGAGAATGGATTGGAGTTGCTGACACTGTTGAAACGGTAAAACTAGTGGGATTTTACAGTAGAAACTGTATGAATAGAGAATATGGTTGGAGATGCTCTAATAATGCTGCTCAAGCTTCACGACTGGATTTTTTTCTAAATTTTCAAGGTAGTATTCTCTTTTCCAGACATGCTTCCAAGTAAATAGACTAATCCAGACTAGATTTAACAGAAAAAACGACAGTTACACAAGTCTTTGTCATTATCCATTTTTTAGAAACTCAGATTAGAGGCAAAGAACGAATAATCCTGAACTTGGTTTTGGTTCAGCTTTTTGGCAGTGCATCATAGTACAACAACACCACCTTTGAGTGTAAAACTGGATTTTGGGTAAAACCCGGCGAAGAAAGAAAAGCCTTTCCGTTTTTAGCCTAATGCCTCCCAGAATCAGTCGAATGGGTCGATCCGTGGGTCGTGCTCACTAGCCATAGCCATTCCTGTGCAGAGACACGTAGGGCACATGACCTGTAGAATAAACGCAAACAATTTAGCGAGAATGTACATTTAACAATCTCCAAAATTTTCCAACATCCATTGGCTACTCAAACGGTTTCTGACTGTCTAATACATTTTATACTATGCATTTTTGTTTTATTATATATTAATACTGGCAGTTCATATTAAATGATTACTTGAATTTCAGCCATGTCGTCCTTTACCTTTTGCTTCTTATTTTTCTTTAAGTATCTTCTTTTCTTTCATATCGCTTAAGCTTGATGGGTGAAGATAAATGCAAACATGAAACCTGATAAAGCATACCTTCCCAGACCCCGAACAATTAGAACACCTTTCTGACTTAGGCGGTGATAGGGGTCGATCCACTTCATTTGATGTGGAGACTAGATCAGTCTGAACAACAGATCCAGTGCTTGCACAACGAGCACAGGCGAGATACCCTATAAATTGGAATGTAATTTTTAATTAACAACATGCAATCACATCTTGCACATTAAAAATATGATGACGTTTTCATATATAATTTGCGAGGTTTCTAATATCAAGAAATCAAATATGAGTTCAGCAGGCTACCTCGTTAAAAAAGGAAAAATTCCATAAAAATAACACTAATGTGATATTTACCTGACTAATGTGATATTTACCTGTACCAAGACAGTACTTGAACCGGCTCCCTCATTATAAGAACCCAACGAACGAAGCGAAGCATAAAAATAACACTAAAGCAATATTTACCTGTACCAAGACAGTACTTGCATTTCTTATCTTCCTGCTGCTTCACATTGTTTATTTCGACCACCATCAAGGCAGATATTACTCCAACTGCTCCTCCAGAGAATGACGCCACAATTGGATCAACTTGACTGCAAAATTAGTAAATTTACTGTCTTATGAACTAACAAAAGCAAAAGCAAATATTTATGATAAAAACGTGAGAAGCATCACTATGGATAAGAACAAGAAAAGCTAAGTGTTAATATGAAGAGTTGGGGCATGTTTGTTCATAAATTCTTTTGCTTTTTATTAGTTTTTTGGTTAACCGTAGTTAATTTTGAAAAGGTTGGTTTGAGTTAGATTTGCGTAGGATTTCGAGTTTGTATCAAAATAATATTTAAAATAAAATATTAAAGTTGATTTGAGGTAAAAATAAGAAGTTGTGATCGATGGGTATTTAAAATTATGTGAGTGGATAAATAATGAAATAAAGTTGATGTGATGTGCAGGGATGATTGATTGATATTATTTAGTTATAGTAATAATATTGAGGATAGTGAAGTTGAGTTAAATTTGAGTTGAAATTGAATTTTTAAAAAAATCAAAATAAAAAATTTAACAAGCATGCCCTTAAGAAGCACACCTCAATTGCATTGGGAGATGGACGTTGCGGATAAAATCAGCATACGATGTCCCACCTATTCCAAGTTTGAGCTCCAGCTACCATAGGAACAACAAAGGTAATAGAAGGATTAGAACCATACCGGACGTCATAAAAGTTTCTCTTACATTTTTACCTAGTGCTAAAATCACTTTTTAATAGATAAAGTTTTACTTTCCCTGTTCCTTTCAAATATGTGACAGCTATGAAGGATAAAGGCCAAATAAATAAATAATAAAAAAAAAAGGCTAAATGCATCAGGTTGAAGCAACCATCAGTCAGCTCACTTCTGAACTACTTTTTTGGGATACTTACTGTACAACGTAAAAGGTGTACACTGTACACAAAAATTGGTAGAACCTTTATATAGAGATGTATCGGTAAACTACATTTCATTCATATCACATTCACCCAGATAAACGGAGAAACAAATCTATCACATCAAATTGCCTTGCTAATAATGGGAGCCTTCAACTTCATTTAATAAATTGTTATAAAGGGAGACAACAAAAGGAACACATAAGTTTGAGTTTATAAGTATGCACAACATAAAATTAATCCCTGAGTTTCCTGAGAAGTACAACAAAAGACAGAACTTACCGTGGGAGCTAAAAGTCCTCCAAAAAGCATGACTCCAGCAATAAGTGTGAAGCAGGTGGCATAGTAGACTTTCAGGTTGGACGAGTTCTGAACATAGCTTATATATGAGACAACACTCACTGAAATACTACATAAGTTGCGGGTCAAAGTATCTAACAATTATCTTTCATGTAACGCAATCAACATTTACCAATGGCGGCAAAAATGGAATAAATGAAGGGAAATCAGGAAGCTCGTTTTCCTGCTCGTCGTTTACAATCCCAAGCTCAGCACTCTTAAGTCTTTGCTGTATCCTAAGCCGACGAACCTATAAAGTTGTTAAAAGCATTATCAAAATAAATTTCGACCATATGATCAAATTACCTCTAAAGTAAAATAAAAAATAAAAAATAAAAATAATATTAATAATAATAATAATAATAATAATAATAATTTATTCACAAATCAGACAAAGGTTACCGCGTGGAAGAAAAAATAAAAAAGATAAAAAAAATACTGATGGGAAAGCTTAGAATTGATACCTAAAAAGTTGCATATATTTAAAAAATGAAAATAAAGGAAAGCCACTGATCTCTTCTATTGAGAAATACAGTATGTGGATCATCAACTATTTAAGAATTGAGCTTATGCCGTTTGTACCAAATAATTTTCTGGATGGCACGAGTATGAACTAACTATTTCGTGTGCGCATCTATATATATATAGGATCATATGAGAATAGAATGGTAGATAGTGAAAGAAATAAGAATAAGTTTGAACCATTAGATACATTAGATCAATGGTTAAGATTAAGTCAAAGATTAATAATTCCAGTCAAAATCACGATGTCAGTTGTGTAATTATGTGATAAATATTGGTCTAATGTTAAACTTTGAGGGTAGTGGTGTAATTTCACTTCATCCACTAACCACCCTCTTTCTCTCACTGGGGCCCACCACTCATCTCCCTCTTTCTCTCTTTTTCACTCACAGACACACACACACATTTACACACACAATTTCCGGCCATCTGTTAATTGTCGGCTACCGTGACCACCGCCGCATCACAGCCCGTCGCCGTCGTCACCCGCCACCAAGAATTACACGCACAGAAATCCACACAGTAGGAGCACACACACACACGCACCGCCGACCTCATACCCATATGCCGACCGCTAACCAGCCACCAACCCACTGCCGACACGGGCTTTGCCGATACAGTCATTTCCAACGCCAGCTCCGCCGAAGTCCCGCCATTGCAGTCACTTCATCACCATGCCTATGGTGGACCGTCGGGATGGACACCGTTCGAGGTCGCGAAATTCGGATTCTATCCGCCGGACGCCGTCGATATGGACGGAGGAGTCTCGAGGCATTCACTGAGGAACCGCTGTAGAATGAGCTGTGCAGAGCCACTGTTTGCGAAGTCCGGCTCCAATTCCATCGTCAATCTTGCCGCAGCTCCGACGTGGCGGCAGCCGAGAACTCCGATGATTCAGATACCATGAGTTTGGGCGGATAAGATGGACATTTATGTGTTAATTGATTTGGGGCTTAGTTTGGGGCAGAGAAGTTGAACGCACACGTGGTGTATGTATTAATTGATTTGGGGCTTTTCTAAGGAAAATTAGATAATCTTTAGGGTCTATTTTGCAATTTTTGAAATTTTAATATATGTATAATTTATTATGTGATGACAATTTATAATTTAATGAAAATTAATTTATGCAGAATAATGACACATTAGATGTACAATTTTGTGTGTAGGTGTACAATTTAAAAAATAATGTCATATGTATACGAAATTATTTAAAAATTGATAAATATTTATTTTTCTTGATAAGTGAATTGCACAATATTTTGTATAAATATGTGCTTTAAAGTAAATAAAAATAATGAAAATGAAATTTCAAATTGAAAATTGAAAATTATGACATAATTGGTTTAATTTGTCGGTTAACGTAAATAATCAAAATAACCAACATAAATTACATCATTTGTTATAAGTACACGATTAGTATTTAATATTTTTTTACTATTTTTTTATTTTTTGAAAATATTAGTATATATGTAAATGGAATATACAATGCAATATAACATTTTATTAAGGTGCAAATCGTCCGGTGCACGAAGTAAGTATGTCTTGTGCAAATTGAACCAACCAAATTTTATCTCAATCATATTGAAAATGAACATAATTAATTGGTTTATTCGGTTTGGTTAACCGAATTATTCTAAATTACCTAAATAATTTGTTTTCTATATTAAAAGTATTTTTAATATGATAAATATTTTATTTGTTATTTTTATATTATTTTTGGTTGAAAACAAACAAATGGTTTTTCATTTCATTCTCTATTAATGCGATCTTATAGTCGTGATAAAGTGCATGATTTTATTTTATAAAGTGCAACGTATTGTTTTATAAAGTGCAACACGTTGATGTATAAAGTGCACTCCTGAAATTATGTTATGTTAGAATGCCTGCGTTTTATGTGGGCAAATGATATGACGGATGTTAAAATATTATGGAGATCTAATTTTTAGATTTAAGTTGTGTGGTATTTTGGCGGAACTATTAACATTAATTGTTGAATGTGATAATAAAATATAGTTTGTAGTTTTATAAATTGCGACGTGTTATTTTATAAAGTGCAACACGTTATATAAAGTGCATCGTGATGATATAAAGTGAATTATTGTAATTTTGGTATATTAGCATACTAATGTTTTATTTATTTATTTACTTTTTTTTTGTGAATAGAATTTGTGATTGATATTAAAGTATTACGTATATCTGCTTTTTAATTTTATATTGCGTAATATTTTTTGACGTGAGTTGTTGACACTAATTGTGAATATGGAAATAAAGTTCAACGTGTTGTTTTATATAGTGCAGTGTGTTATTTTATAAAGTGCAACATTTTTTGTTATATAAGGTGCACTAATTTATAAAGTAAGATAAATTATGTGTTTTTGAAAAATAGTTTTAATATATATAATCGTACATCGAATTAAACTAAATAATTATAATATCTTGTTATTTATTATTTTTAATGTATAATATATTTTTTATTATGCATTACTTTTTTAATATTTATATTATTATTTTTTTATTATTTAGTATATAACAATATATATATATAATAAATTTTTATTAACTTCCAATAATTATAGATTTGACCTAGGGGTTAAATTGAAATATAACTAAAACTATAAAAATTGCAAACAAGACCCTATACTTAATCTAATTCTCAAAGAGCATGCCCAATCATACAGTTAAATTCAGACATTCAAATTGCTCCTTATAAACACATCTCGCATTGGAGAGGGCGTGGTTCGATATCAAGATGCGGCGGAGGTCAAGGCGCTGGCGGCAGAGATCGAGAAATGGGACTGTCGGACTGAGCGTGTGAGGAGTGGATGACGAGAATGGTGTCGCGATGAAGCCTCGCCCGTCGCGATGGAGGCTTGGCAAGTAACAGCGGCGGGTTTGCGGAGGGCATTGGACGACGGCACTCGGTGGGACTGGTGGGAGATGATGGTGCTCTCTTTGTGCGTGTGTATATGTTGCGAGTGAGTACGTATGGTGGTGCGACGGAGGAACGCCGACGTCAGGTGGTTGTGCGGCGGC